CACACAACCGGGGCGAGAGAGGGGGGACGCTTTCCTCATCAGAAAGACACACCCACACAGAAACGAATCAGGATGCGGTGTGCGTTTTGTGGACGGGCTTGTCCGAGTTGTGATCATCCATTGCCATTTGCCACACACACACACAGTTTCGTCGGCTAAAAGTGCAACTGCACCGTAGCAGCTGAAAATTCTATACTCAGCAGCAGCCGTGTGTTTTCGTCTTAGTGAATCACCTGGTACACCTGATTCCCCCCAAGCTTTGACCAACATATACAGTCCTTTGGCCGCAACTCACAATCCTTTCGTTTCGATCCACAAAACCTCAGCCGCGATCTAGTGCTCTGCAATCACCACCACATAGTTCTTTGGCCTAAACATCGCTGTAATCGAGTCCGATTCAGATCAAAATGTTCAAGTCAAGTTGAGTCCAGTAAAAAAACGCTTAATTTATCCTAATGAATGGATTCTCAGCTTCTTGCACACCAGGATCATTTATCATCGCATTCTGTCACAAAGAAAAAGTGAAAAACAGCATCATGAATTCAAAGGAATGTGACGTAAAAGTTTGAAAATGGATATCAATTGCGTACGAAATTCAAAAAGTTTACTCTAACGGATGTCTTTTGAGCCAATAGTCTCGAAAGATATGGGATAACGGGCAAACGGTAGGTAGTGGTACAAATATACACAAGTTTATAACGACACCTAATTACGGCAGTGGATATGCATTGTTTAAGCGCTCTGTGTGTAATGGGTGAGTGATGTCTGATAGAATGTAGAGGCAGAAATTGTCGCAAGAAGTTAAATGTTTTTCCAGATATTCTGAAGTCAGTAAATGGAGTGTGGAAAGTAGTTATATTTTATCAAAGGTATTGATATTCCAAACGTTGAAGGTGTGCTGAGGTGTGGCGAGTGTATGCTATGCAGGTGACCACCGTAAATGAGATATAAGACCTCCGACCCAGGTGGGCTGTGTCCCTCCGTTTTTAAGAATGGTAGATCGGCCTAAATTTCGGAGTTGACGAAACTCCTGGACCCGATATGGGAGAGGGATCAAGTTCCAACGAAATGGTGTGAATAGGTGATCATACCGATTTACAAGAAAGATGGCAGGTCCTCTTGTAAAAACCCCGGAGGAATTAGTTTAATCTGATCGAGGCTGTATCGACCACATCTTCATTCTTCTCCAAACTCTGGAGCATCGACAATCTTTTCGTATACCCGCCATTTCTATCTTCCTCGATCTGAAAGCGGCTTTCGACTCAGTCGACTGATTCAAACTCTGATGCTGCCTTTCCCTGACGGGTGTGCCTGAGAATTTTATTTCAATATCGCAATCCCGTTATACTAATAGCCGAAGCTGAGTCCGAGATTACGGCGCTTTTTCGCCCCAGTTCACCACGGAAAGTGGTGTTCGATATGGTTGTCCTCTCTCTATCCGTTCCTATTCAATTTCGTGATAGATTTGATTCTTGAAACAGCTCTATCCTCGTGCGAGGATATTGGTATCGATTTACCTCCAGGTGGTAGACTATCTGATCTAGAGTATGCAGACGACATTGTGCTATTAAGTGCTACTAAGCGAAGATGCAGATAATTTGCAAGCTTTTCGGAATAGTTTGAGTGCTAGTGTAACCATTTTCGGTATGCGTTTTTCACCTTCGGTGTGTTAAATGTTACTACATGATTGGGTTGGTTCAGCACCCAGTTTCACCCTGACTGGGGAAGTGGTAGACAAATTTTGCTATCTGGGCAGCTATATCTCACCGGGCGGACGCATCACAGATGAAGTATCGGTGCGGGTGCAAAAGTCTCGGTTGGCATTTGCCAACTTGAGACATCTGTGGCGCCGTCGTGACATCCGGCTGTCTGTGAAGGGTCGAGTGTGCACTGCAGCAGTTCGGTCAGTGCTGTTATACGATGCAGAGACTTTGCCATTACGGTAAGAGGATGAAAATCGATTGTTGATGTTAGAACACCGTTGTCTGCGCCGCATTGTACGAGTATGGTTGGGAAACCGGACAAGAAATGCTGAAGTTAAGCCGAGAGTTTTAGGTGATCGCGGTCGTCCACTGGAACAAGTGATCGACCCGCATAGACTACGCTGTTTGGGACACGTGCTACGCATGTCCCCAGATAGGTTGCCACGACGAGCTTTGTTTGCCGAGGCAAGTAGCGGTTGGAAAAAGATCAAGGGTGTTCAAACGAAGTCCTGGCATAAGGGTATGAAAATCCTGACTAGGGGACTGAGTCACATAGGTCCCGGGTTCACTTTGTCTCTACTTACAGTACCGGCCGATTGTGGTGCACTAAAATATTTTCTTTGTGATCAAATGGAGTTTCATTATATTTATCAGCTATATTACTGCTTTAGGTACGGACAATAAGAATGACTCAAGAATTATCCCAAATTATTTCCATGAACCCTTGCCATCTCGGTTATTTGTTATGAGGCATTATTTTATCCGACATATCATCCATTATGGCAACTCTGTTGAATAACCAAATGAAATCCCTTCACAACCTGGAGAAATCGCATTGAATAAGGTTTCATAATAATAATCTATGTTTGACAGCTAACTCACTGAATTCGAGAAATACCATTTTTATCAAAGTCAACTTTCAAGTCAAGGTCATTTTTACGCATGGCTTTCAATATTCGTATTGTTGTCACCATAATGAAGCAAGCAGCTCAAAACCCAAAGTTCCGGTTATCTCGGTGAAGAAGATAAAAATAAAATTACTCAGGCACTCAAGCTGGGATTTTCTATATCAAATCTTTCCCAATGCTTTAACGTAAACTAAAACACAATTTACAGGATAATCCATGGAAAAACAACAACCAGAACAGTTTGTGGGGGCCGAAAACCGAGTGCATCCAAACAGGAAGATGAACTAATTCGTGTTACTCTGAAAAAACACATTGCATAAAATCGTTGTCGTCTATCCAACGGGAAGATCTTCCACATCATTCATACTCTCTGGTGCAAAGAAGAATGAAAAAGATTTAAGATGCGTCAGGTTTCAGCTGATGTCAGGCCAGCATTGAACGCGCAGCAAAGGCAGGCGCGTATTGATTTCGCCTGAGAATTCAAATCTCATTTTGGCGATCGGTTTATTTCGCTGACGAGTGCATGGTGTGTGATGAGCCTTGGAAGGCTCACAAAAAGTCATTTGTGGTGAGAATTTCCCAAAAGGACTTATTCCACTAAATGAAAGAGTTTCTCACCCGTCGAGATTACTTATCGAGGCAGAGATAAAACAGTTCAGAAAAGATGCGTGACTCTAAGGTCCAGTTCGTGCAACTTCCTCTTAAAGCCCGGATCTTAATGTGATTGAAAGTCTGCTTTCTGTTTTGAAGAGAGAGGTCAATGTGCTATACGTACATTGGACATTGGAGGCAAAAGTGCGCCGCGTAATGTAGCACAAAATAGAAAATGACTTCATAACAAAATTCGTGGATTCGATGCCGAAGAGACTCGGAAAAGTCCTAAAGGACAAAGGCAGACCAATCGACTATTAGTGTAAACAAACTTTACACCTTAATTATTATCAATGTTAATTTGTTGTAAATAAAAATAGTTTCATTCTCTTCAGTTACCTCTTAGCTCACCATGGTCTAGGTCAACCACTACTGACGAAATAGGAGTATCCGGTACATTTTGAACCATTCCATCTGCTGAGCATAAGCGAATCAGGAAAATCACTGATATAAAGACTCACCAAGGCTTGCCAAGTATTATTTTGAAAAAGAAATTTAATTCAGTATAAATGCTGTTGCCCATACGAACCAACAAGTGTTTCACAGGGACCCGTTGCTTCAGTTTCGAGTAGACCTGTATATGCGTCACTGCAACTACGGGTGAACTAGTATGTGAGATAGAATTAGTTTATCATCCATGTTTGTGTTTGTCCAGATCAATTTCGGTTTTAGAGGCAACGAGTCTGAGTCCAACAGCTGGGAATGTACGGTCTATAGAGCTGACCTCAACTTATGGCGCACATCATCGTAAACGTGGTCACCTTTGTAGACAAGCTTTATATAGAAGACCATTTTGCTAGCGTTTTCGGTTGGGTTCCCTTTTGGGGACTGGTCCACTACTGTGGACGGCTATCATGTCTAGAAACGCGACACATTTGTTCTCTTTTTCAATTGATGAACTAGATCAAGGGACTCAATGTGTTTCACATTCGGACCGTGATCATATGGACGCAAAGAACGAACCCTGTCGTCCCACCACCACAAAAGATCAATCCAGAATAGCTGTGTATGATGTGAACAAAGTTACCATACATTTCGGCATTATTAGGCGTCCCATATGCCGTGCTGTCAGAGCCACGAGTCGGAAAACAATTTTCAAACCTTCAGATGAAGTTCAATGAAGACGTGTAGACTTTTGGGATATATAGATATAGTCAACCCATCATTAGAACACATCCGCAGGGTACATCCGCCATCCGGACGTTCGGACGTTAAACCGTAGACAAATAAATGTGTATTATTACCACTGTGCCAATTCATTTTCGGTCCACGGGCCGCAACCGATCACCTCCCCCCCCCTCACTACGACCCTGGTCAAACCCACAGGAGCAAAACTTTTAATACATATCGGACTGACTTTCCTTGCGAGTAATGGTGATGGGATAATAATTACCATTGAGTTTAATGAATAAGTATTCCAGCTTGAACTATTTTGTCCATCCGTGTGATTCACTAATTTCCGTTTCACCTTTCCAGGATAAATCCCAATGTCTCTATGGCGACTAAAAATGGGATTCTGGTGTCGAATGCAAGATCGATCCGTTCGTAATGTAAAAATATGATGAAAGGGGTGAAATGGGTATAGGGAAGGAAGAGATTTAATTGACCAAACAAATGGGAATCATTTACTCTTTAATATCACATACAACTCACAGCAGCAGATTGCCCCTCGGCGGGGCGTGGGAGGGGGAGGGCTGTGCATTGATAATTTTTATTTCATTTCAAAATTCCTTTCCAGTCGAACGGATAGTCACACAGACAATCCTCCGACCCAGATCGATATCACTGTGACGAGCCCCGAACGCATGGAATGCCAAATCGAACGACTGCGTGTCAATTCGGCACATCAACGTAAATGTGATCAATTGTTGTGCAAAATGGTCAGTGCTCGAGAGTCCTTGTCCAAAAAAGTGAGTATGATGGGAAGTCATAGGTGAAAGCGCTTTGTTTTGCATCCGTTGTGACAGAGATTTATATTTTTTTCCGCCCGTCCAGATGTCCTCTCGGTAAATAGTTTGTCTATTGCTCCTGTGTCAAACTTGGAATGGCGCTAATTTTTAGCCGTTGAAAAACTGTCATACACTTGTTGTTGTTGTTGTCCGATTGGTCTTTCTGTCGCATATCAGTTAATCTAGATCCAGGTCATTATGCAATACAAATCGCATTTGCAACTCGGGGAGTGGATTTGAGACGAACAAGTTTCGAAGAATCATTGTGATGATTCCATATCAGGTGTTGTGTGCTACATGCGTCTGGACGCCAGGGTTGATTTTCAGTGTTTTTGAAACGGGCAGTATATTAATGACCGGACAAAATTTCCCAGAAGCATACGACCGGTTTCGCGGTCCTTGCCGCTCGTCAGGTATTCTTATACAGAATCATCGCAATGATTTGTTGAGACTTGTTCGTCTTAAATCCATTCCCCGAGTTACACATGAGGTATGCGTTGCACAATTCCCATCGAGAGTTCAAGTATAAGAATGACCTGACAGAAGATTACCGGATATGCGTACCGGAGGAGCACCAAGGACCGCGAAAACCATCGTACGCCTAAGGGAAATTTTGTCCAGTCAATAATAAACTGCTCATTTCAAAAGTAGATTCATCTTACTAACATTGAATTGCTGAAGACAACACAAATAATATTCCTGTTCATAACTTTAACGAATAAATTAAGAATTGAGTCATAATATCGGATAACCCCCACAGTAATCTAGCTAGAAAAGAAAATTACATGACGCGCTAGCACGAATATTGTAATTCTAATCGGTTTTTAACGATCCCTGTTTGTTGTAGTTGCCCCAGTTTGTTGTGTCCTTGAAACTTCTGCAGAATAGTGAGACGGAATCATGGGATTTTCGATCCTAACTATTCAAACGTGTTGTTTATACGAGCCACGGTGAATTATGGACTGTTTACGCAATAATAATGACCACTGGAATGAAATTGACAAACCTTACATTTCATTGTGTGAGGCGAACGGTTCTGGCTGGCTGACGTTACAAAAACTTCTTTTTCAGTAACTACACATGGAAGCATTGACGAACCGATAAACTCATGCATAACATCTAAAATGCAACCATTTGAATCGATCGCATGTACCATATCGAAAAAAATTACATAAACTATTACAAAAGCTTTCGAGATCGGTTTTTTTGCATCATATAAACCATCGCGTCTGTGTGAATCGCAATTCGATCGTGTCGTGCTTAAAGCCCCTCTTATTCGATTATCTGTCCCGTAGCTTGCCGAGTTGAATGTCCAAGATCCGGAGGAGGTGAAAACAGAATCGAAGCCGCCGGCAACGGAAACTGACAACTCGGCGGGGACGGAACCCAATGGGGACAAATCGGTACGTTTGATGAATGCTTGCGACAGACCTGTGTTTTCATTTCCTGACTTCGACAATACAATCAGCGTGCGGCAGTGATACATCCAAATCCACTACTGCCTATTTGCTACATATCTGTGTTGTGCTCGGATTTCTATGGTAGCGTCCTGTAAGTAGTATGTATACCTCTGGGTCCAATAGTACACACTGTCATAATGGTGGGAAAATGGACATTCCCGTTATGTATGGGGGTGACCGTGTCATCTCGATGAAACTGTTCTCAAGTCTGTACAATCCAATGGAAAAAATAACAACACACCTTTGACTCTCAGTTACTTGTGAGTAGTGAGTGGTATGGCGTAACTGATATTGATTTGAACTGACCATGCTGCTTCTCAGACTTCACCTCCACGCGCACAATCTTCAGTTCTTCCAGTCGACCACTGGATTCGAGTTTCGCTCTTATTGGAGCTCGTCAGTAGTGCATCATATCCACCGTCTCGAATTGGAACAGACAATCAACTGTGTCTGTGTTCGTGGCTGTTGGGCCAACAGTGCACTGACTGACTATCACTACAGTGGACCTCCGGAACAAACATGAATTGGCAATTCTGTGAAGCTCCGAAGATTGTCACAGTGGTAACACACAAACGCCTTCCATGCCCGATGAGTCAAAGCCCTGACGGCCCTACCGGACGGTGGATATGCACTACTGATGAGCTCTAATAAGGACAAACTAGGGTGATGAACAGC